TAGTCTATAGTCTATAGTCTATAGTCTATAGTCTATAGTCTATAGTCTATAGTCTAGTCTAGTCTAGTCTATAGTCTAGTCTAGTCTATAGTCTAGTCTAGTCTATAGTCTAGTCTAGTCTAGTCTATAGTCTAGTCTAGTCTATAGTCTAGTCTAGTCTATAGTCTAGTCTAGTCTATAGTCTAGTCTAGTCTATAGTCTAGTCTAGTCTATAGTCTAGTCTAGTCTAGTCTATAGTCTAGTCTATAGTCTAGTCTAGTCTAGTCTATAGTCTAGTCTATAGTCTAGTCTATAGTCTAGTCTATAGTCTAGTCTATAGTCTAGTCTATAGTCTAGTCTATAGTCTAGTCTATAGTCTAGTCTATAGTCTAGTCTATAGTCTAGTCTATAGTCTAGTCTATAGTCTAGTCTATAGTCTAGTCTAGTCTAGTCTATAGTCTAGTCTATAGTCTAGTCTATAGTCTAGTCTATAGTCTAGTCTATAGTCTAGTCTATAGTCTAGTCTATAGTCTAGTCTATAGTCTAGTCTAGTCTATAGTCTAGTCTATAGTCTAGTCTATAGTCTAGTCTATAGTCTAGTCTATAGTCTAGTCTATAGTCTAGTCTAGTCTATAGTCTAGTCTATAGTCTAGTCTATAGTCTAGTCTATAGTCTAGTCTATAGTCTAGTCTATAGTCTAGTCTATAGTCTAGTCTATAGTCTATCTATAGTCTAGTCTATAGTCTAGTCTATAGTCTAGTCTATAGTCTAGTCTATAGTCTAGTCTATAGTCTAGTCTATAGTCTAGTCTATAGTCTAGTCTAGTCTAGTCTATAGTCTAGTCTATAGTCTAGTCTATAGTAGTCTAGTCTTATAGTCTAGTCTATAGTCTAGTCTATAGTCAGTCTATTAGTCTAGTCTTAGTCTAGTCATATCTAGTCTATAGTCTAGTCTATAGGTCTAGTCTATAGTCTAGTCTATAGTCTAGTCTATAGTCTAGTCTATAGTCTAGTCTAGTAGTCTATAGTTGTCTATAGTCTAGTCTATAGTCTAGTCTATAGTCTAGTCTATAGTCTAGTCTAGTCTAGTCTAGTCTAGTCTATAGTCTAGTCTATAGTCTAGTCTATAGTCTAGTCCTATAGTCTAGTCTATAGTCTAGTCTATAGTCTAGTCTATAGTCTAGTCTATAGTCTAGTCTATAGTCTAGTCTATAGTCTAGTCTATAGTCTAGTCTATAGGTAGTCTATAGTCTAGTCTATAGTCTAGTCTATAGTCTAGTCTATAGTCTAGTCTATAGTCTAGTCTATAGTCTAGTCTATAGTCTAGTTAGTCTATAGTCTAGTCTAGTCATAGTCTAGTCTAGTCTATAGTCTAGTCTAGTCTATAGTCTAGTCTAGTCTAGTCTAGTCTATAGTCTAGTCTAGTCTAGTCTAGTCTAGTCTAGTCTAGTATAGTCTAGTCTAGTCTAGTCTAGTCTAGTCTAGGTCTAGTCTAGTCTAGTCTATAGGCTAGTCTAGTCTATAGTCTAGTCTAGTCTATAGTCTAGTCTAGTCTATAGTCTAGTCTAGTCTATAGCTAGTCTATAGTCTAGTCTAGTCTATAGTCTAGTCTAGTCTAGTCTAGTCTACAGTCTAGTCTAGTCTAGTCTAGTCTATAGTAGTCTATCTATAGTCTAGTCTAGTCTAGTCTAGTCTATTAGTCTAGTCTATAGTAGTCTATAGTATATAGTCTAGTCTAGTCTATAGTCTAGTCTATAGTCTAGTCTAGTCTATAGTCTAGTCTAGTCTATAGTCTAGTCTAGTCTATAGTCTAGCTAGTCTATAGTTAGTCTAGTCTAGTCTATAGTCTAGTCTAGTCTGATAGTCTAGTCTAGTTAGTCTAGTCTATAGTCTAGTCTAGTCTAGTCTATAGTCGTCTAGTCTATAGTCTAGTCATAGTCTAGTCTAGACTAGTCTATAGTCTAGTCTAGTCTATAGTCTAGTCTATAGTCTAGTCTATAGTCTAGTCTATAGCCTAGTCTATAGTCTATCCTTAGTCTAGTCTATAGTCTAGTCTATAGTCTAGTCTATAGTCTAGTCTATAGTCTAGTCTATAGTCTAGTCTATATTTTGTCTATAGTCTAGTCTATAGTCTAGTCTATAGTTAGTCTATAGTCTAGTCATAGTCTAGTCTATAGTCTAGTCATAGTCTAGTCTATAGTCTAGTCTATAGTCTAGTCTATAGTCTAGTCTATAGTCTAGTCTATAGTCTAGTCTATAGTCTAGTCTAGTCTAGTCTAGTCTAGTCTAGTAGTCTAGTCTATAGTCTAGTCTATAGTCTAGTCTATAGTCTAGTCTATAGTCTAGTCTATAGTCTAGTCTATAGTCTAGTCTATAGTCTGTATAGTCTAGTCCTATAGTCTAGTCTATAGTCTAGTCTATAGTCTATTCTATAGTCTAGTCTATAGTCTAGTCTATAGTCTATCTATAGTCTAGTCTATAGTCTAGTCTATAGTCTAGTCTATAGTCTAGTCTATAGTCTAGTCTATAGTCTAGTCTATAGTCTGTCTATAGTCTAGTCTATAGTCTAGTCTATAGTCTAGTCTATAGTCTAGTCTATAGTCTAGTCTATAGTCTATCTATAGTCTAGTCTATAGTTAGTCTATAGTCTAGTCATAGTCTAGTCTATAGTTAGTCTATAGTCTAGTCTATAGTCTAGTCTATAGTCTAGTCTATAGTCTATTCTAGTCTATAGTCTAGTCTATAGTCTAGTCTATAGTCTAGTCTATAGTCTAGTCTATAGTCTAGTTTATAGTCTAGTCTAGTCTGTAGTCTAGTCTTTAGTCTAGTCTATAGTCTAGTCTTTAGTCTAGTCTATGGTCTAGTCTTTAGTCTAGGCTATTGTCTAGTCTTTAGTATATTCTATAGTCTAGTCTTTAGTCTAATCTATAGTCTTGTCTATAGTCTAGTCTATATAGTATAGGTTAAAGAATGGTCTTCACTATAAAACTAAACTATTGCTAAACAATTTCACAATAGTTCTTTGATTTTATTTGTTGTTTACAATACAGAGCTATTGTATTTAAAGTGTTAAAAATAATCAAAAAGCTCTAAAAATTACTAATACTCTAGAAAAACAACAATTTATCTGCCAACGTATGCCGGCAATTGACTATATAAACTAGCGCTATTTCAGAAAACACTTTAGTCTACTGCGAGTTTTCATAAACGTAACGACCACATTTTAAATTTCAATAATAAATTCAAAATAACATTCGCCAGAACCGTGGCTTTGTTATTGCCTATAACAAATTATTTTAAATTAAAAGTGTTAAAATAAAACTTCTATAAAATGGCTCAAATGGTGCAAATGACTACTGAACAATTACAACAACTGATCGAATCGGTACGTGCTTCTGCTGGCGCAGGAACTGTGGTTGCTGCCGCCAAGTCCAAAGGAAGTTTTAGTAATTGTTCATCTCGCTTTGGCGGTCAACGTGATCATGAAGCTGTCGAAGAATTTATTACCTCAATAGTGACCTACAAAGAAGTGGAAGCGATTAGTGATGAAGATGCCTTAAAGGGGGTGTCGTTGCTGTTCTATGGTTTGGCCTCAACCTGGTGGCAGGGTGTGCGTAAGGAAGCTAAAACTTGGAATGATGTTTTGGCCTTAATACGTGATCATTTCTCACCCACTAAACCTTCTTATCAAATTTATTTGGAAATCTTTGATAAGAAACAAGATGACAAAACCGCTATCGATACTTTTGTGTGTCAAAAGAGAGCCCTATTGGCCCAATTGCCTGATGGTAGACATGATGAAGAAACCGAAATTGATTTGGTGTATGGTCTACTCAACATCAAATACCGTAAACATATTGCTCGTCAAGACTTTAAAACATTCCGTGAATTGTTGGAAAAGGGTCGTGTTATCGAACACAATATGTTAGAAGCTGAAGGCAGTCAACAAGATAAAAGGCGTCATAGACACTAAAAGAAGTACAAGGAGATTTTAGAGGCTATATGAGGAAAGTCACAAATAGACTACTACCAACTTAAATTGTCTTAACAAAGTGGCTAAACTTGATTTCTATAAGAATTTGCCCTCATGGTCTTAGGCACCAGAGAAAATACGCTGTTTGGTAAATGACATCATTAAAGAGAAACGATTTACTCTTTTAGTATTAACTTTATATAGGCTGCTCTTAGTTTAATGTCCCAGGTTTTTCTATACAAATTTTTAACGTTTTATTATTTTTATATAAATTTTTTATTTTTTAATTTATATAAAAATCTTAAATATTTTTAATTTGTATAGTATTAACTTGAGCATTTTGCTTAAGGGTTATGTCTCCTTATTAATATTTTACGCTAGTTTTATAAACCGGCTTTACAGGCTAAGAACGCCTGGACCTGATAAAATTTCTAAAAATCTTTTAGATTTAACAGAAATCATGTATTTTTATATACAACCATGCATACATACATATATATATATATATATATATTATAAGTCGGATATCTTTCTATATCCTAGAGCATCAGTGACTCTCTTTAAATGTTTGAATTTTTTTTAGAACTGAAATTTTTATCTAATTTTTCAAAACCCTTGACAAATTTAGAACTTGTGTCTGAAATTGTTTAAGTGTTAAAGAAAACTAAGATTTAAGTTTTATAGTTTAAAAATAATTTAAACATTTTAGGAAAGTTGCTAAAAACCGTTATATTAAGTGTTATGATAAAAAGTCTTAAAGAAAACTTTTATTTTAAAGAAAAATTTTAAAATATTTGTTTTAATTTTTCAAAATAAAACAAATATTTTAATGTTTATGCTTTAAGAAAATAGAAAATTTTCTTTAAGGCTTATTCTAACACTTATTATAGCAAAAACCTTCCCCTTGGGGAAACCCCCGCGTTTTGAGAAAATTTCGAAAATGTTATGATATAAATATGGCAGCAGCATGTTGCAGACGATATTATAGAAAATTATTTAAGCTTAAGAATTATTTTATTTTCTTAAGGTCTTTTCTTGAAAAGTCTTAAGAATCTTAAAGTATTTTCTTTGGTGCTAAATAAGTTTTGAAAATATTGTCTCCAAACTTTCTGCTCCAGGTTTATTTGTCAATTGTTTTCTTAATTTTCTTTTAATGCAAAAACTTTTCGCTTTGCGAAAAAAAAAAACTTTAAAACTGAATATTTTTTATTCAAATCAATTTGAACTAAATTGTACTACAATGGCTAGGTTGTCGCCATTCGTACAATTGGCAACACCTTATAAAGTGTTTACAAATGTTTAACATTTTTATAACACTTTTAAAGGTACGCCAGTCTTTTAATCATAAGTTAAGAATTGCTTTTGGGTTTTATGAAATCCTCCAAATCCCTTAAGGCTTTTTTAACTTTCTCTATTATCTTTATTATTTACTTAAGTTTATTTTTTGTAAACAAACAACTCAACGACAAATAGCTTTAAACGCAGACTTATTAACAAGTCTAAATTAACTTTGTAAACATTTAACGTTTGGCGCTCCCTGGAGGTGGGCCATAATGCAACGTTTGAATGTTTTTTCTTACTTAAAATTGTCTAGTTTTTTGTTTATTTTTTTGAACTTTAGTTAATATCATTATTTTTTTTTTTAGTTATTAGCATTGCAAAAATTTGTATTTTTTATTACACAGACTTTGCATTTTTGTAAACTAGTTTTTAAGAATTTTTGAAAAAAAGAATGAAAATGAAACTACAGCAAAAGAAAACAAAAGCAAATTCATCATCAAAATAAATACTGAAAAAAGCAATGCTTTTTATTAAAAAACTAAAAATCTTTATGTGTTTTACTTGAAATTTTATTGGGTTTTTATTTTTGTGGGGTTTGACGAAGTTCCAGTAAATTCATCCCTTTGTGTTATCTGAAACGAGAGAAAACGGTCAGCGTATTAGTACACTTCGACCTAAGTTCTCTGGTTTCCTAAACCAAACCAGTTTGTCGCACGAATATAGGATCAACTTCTGTTAAGTCAGGCAAGAAATAGCTACCTTGCATACTCCTTGTAAGATCTGCTAGGGTCGGGGCAAGGGCAGAGCAGCTACTGCAGAAGTCATTACTGGCTAAGTTTAGTCTTCTTGCATGGAGGCTAAAGGGCCAGCGGCCAGTCACCACCGCCATTAAGTTTCGTAGATTAACTCTCGGAATATATAGAAGGACTTGAGATCTTTGTAGGTTGAACGATGGCCCATGTGGCTATCCTCGTGTGCTCTTTTGCAAGAGAGGAATCCATCTTGGTATTACCACTAATTTGTTGATGTATTTGAATCCAGTACCGTACTATTGTGGAATGTTTCGCCATCTGATTAAGCGAGGCCCGGCATTCTAGGACAAAGTTTGAGGCTGTGTAAATACCACTTAAAGCCCTAAGGGCTGACTGGCTATCGCTATATATTCGAAAATATTAAAACCATATATTCGGTAGTAGCTGAGCCAGTTTGGTCTGGAAGCTTGAAGGAAAATTCCATTTGAATTCACAGTGTATTCCTATATGTCTGGAATTTCAAGTGGGCGAGGAGCCACGCCCATATTAAGAAAATATTAAATCCTTATATTTGAGATAACATAACAATTAGAGTCCTCAAATTTTGTCGGAGCCGCATTAGTGTCAATATGATTATTTTGGACAAAAAAAGAGCGGACTAGCATTAAGGGGCGTGTCACCTCCCATATAAATTAAATACAAAAAATCCTTTATCTTGAAAACTATTACAGTTAGAATCTTAAAATTTTGCACGAATAACTTTAACATCCATGTAAATATTTTGGGTTTTAATTTGGCGGACTACCCATGAGGGGAGCGGCAACTTCCCATATTAATTAAATACAAAAATTCGGTTATCTGGGAAAGTAATAGAACTAAATTCTTAAAATTTTGCACGATGAACTTAAATATTCATCTGAACATTTTGGAAGAATAAGAGCGGACTTTCATACGGGGGACTTGGAGCCCCCATATGAATAAACTAGAAAAATTCTAGTCTATAGTCTAGTCTATAGTCTAGTCTAGTAGTCTAGTCTATAGTCTAGTCTATAGTCTAGTCTATAGTAGTCTAGTCTAGTAGTCTATAGTCTAGTCTATAGTCTAGTCTATAGTCTAGTCTATAGTCTAGTCTATAGTCTAGTCTATAGTCTAGTCTAAGTCTAGTCTATAGTCTAGTCTATAGTCTAGTCTATAGTCTAGTCTATAGTCTAGTCTATAGTCTAGTCTAGTCTAGTCTATAGTCTAGTCTATAGTCTAGTCTATAGTCTAGTCTATAGTCTAGTCTAGTCTAGTCTATAGTCTAGTCTATAGTCTAGTCTATAGTCTAGTCTATAGTCTAGTCTATAGTCTAGTCTATAGTCTAGTCTATAGTCTAGTCTATAGTCTAGTCTATAGTCTAGTCTAGTCTATAGTCTAGTCTATAGTCTAGTCTATAGTCTAGTCTAGTCTATAGTCTAGTCTATAGTCTAGTCTATAGTCTAGTCTATAGTATAGTCCATAGCGCCTAGTCTATAGTATAGTCCATAGCGCCTAGTCTATAGTCTAGTCCATAGCGTCTAGTCTATAGTCTAGTCCATAGCGCCTAGTCTATAATCTAGTCCATAGCGCCTAGTCTATAGTCTAGTCCATAGCGCCTAGTCTATAGTCTAGTCCATAGCGCCTAGTCTATAGTCTAGTCCATAGCTCCTAGTCTATAGTCTAGTCCATAGCGCCTAGTCTATAGTCTAGTCCATAGCGCCTAGTCTATAGTCTAGTCTAGTCTATAGTCTAGTCTATAGTCTAGTCTATAGTCTAGTCTATAGTCTAGTCTATAGTCTAGTCTATAGTCTAGTCTATAGTCTAGTCTATAGTCTAGTCTATAGTCTAGTCTATAGTCTAGTCTATAGTCTAGTCTATAGTCTAGTCTATAGTCTAGTCTATAGTCTAGTCTATAGTCTAGTCTATAGTCTAGTCTATAGTCTAGTCTATAGTCTAGTCTATAGTCTAGTCTATAGTCTAGTCTATAGTCTAGTCTATAGTCTAGTCTATAGTCTAGTCTATAGTCTAGTCTAGTCTATAGTCTAGTCTAGTCTAGTCTAGTCTATAGTCTAGTCTAGTCTATAGTCTAGTCTATAGTCTAGTCCATAGCGCCTAGTCTATAGTCTAGTCCATAGCGCCTAGTCTATAGTCTAGTCCATAGCGCCTAGTCTATAATCTAGTCCATAGCGCCTAGTCTATAATCTAGTCCATAGCGCCTAGTCTATAGTCTAGTCCATAGCGCCTAGTCTATAGTCTAGTCCATAGCGCCTAGTCTATAGTCTAGTCTATAGTCTAGTCTATAGTCTAGTCTATAGTCTAGTCTATAGTCTAGTCTATAGTCTAGTCTATAGTCTAGTCTATAGTCTAGTCTATAGTCATAGTCTAGTCTATAGTCTAGTCTATAGTCTAGTCTATAGTCTAGTCTATAGTCTAGTCTATAGTCTAGTCTATAGTCTAGTCTATAGTCTAGTCTATAGTCTAGTCTATAGTCTAGTCTATAGTCTAGTCTATAGTCTAGTCTATAGTCTAGTCTATAGGTCTAGTCAGTCTATAGTCTAGTCTATAGTCTAGTCTATAGTCTAGTCTATAGTCTAGTCTATAGTCTAGTCTATAGTCTAGTCTATAGTCTAGTCTATAGTCTAGTCTATAGTCTAGTCTAGTCTATAGTCTAGTCTATAGTCTAGTCTATAGTCTAGTCTATAGTAGTCTATAGTCTAGTCTATAGTCTAGTCTATAGTCTAGTCTATAGTCTAGTCTATAGTCTAGTCTATAGTCTAGTCTATAGTCTAGTCTATAGTCTAGTCTATAGTCTAGTCTATAGTCTAGTCTATAGTCTAGTCTATAGTCTAGTCTATAGTCTAGTCTATAGTCTAGTCTATAGTCTAGTCTATAGTCTAGTCTATAGTCTAGTCTATAGTCTAGTCTATAGTCTAGTCTATAGTCTAGTCTATAGTCTAGTCTATAGTCTAGTCTATAGTCTAGTCTATAGT